GTTTGAATCCAGCCACAGGGGCTGGAAAATCGCACCAGGCACGTGTGTGTGAGTGCACTCAAAATCTCTTAAAAGGTGGGGAAATGCAGTAGAAGGAACTGTGCTCTAACCACACCCCATTGGGGGATGCTTTTTCCCTGACTTTCTCACAAATGCAGAAGTCCTCTGGTACTTAAAGCAAACAAACAAGACAAAAACACACCCTTTAGTTTCCCATGGAGAGCTCATATATATTATTAAGAGACAAATCTTTTGGTTTTGCTGCATGTAAAGGTAAGGAGGAAAAGAGATTCCAACATTTCACTGAAAACGTTGTTCGATATCTACCTTACTTTCCCTTCGTTCGGTTCCATTTCTTACATCCATCCTTAGTGCTTGCTTTGATTTCAGAAACCTTCAGGCTTCCATGGGGCACTTGGTCTTCGTTCCGTTCTTTACACCCCTTGAACTTAATCTAGGTTTTAGGTTTTCTTTGTTTTGTTTTGTTTTTTACATCTTTAATCCTTTAACTCCTCCTATCTTTCCTTATTTTCCAGAAAGAGATCAGGATGCCTCATTTAATAATACTGCTCTTCCTTTGCTTTTGTAGGGTTACAGAAGGGGGACAGGTAACGAACACATGTACTCGGTCTACCACTTTGTGTTACATGCTCACTTCTTGTTCAAACATCCATTTCCCTTGACTTCCTTCTACATTCTACTGTTTTTCATATTTTCTCTCTGCCTTTTCCTCATTACTTTTGTAGAATTTTCACTATTTACCCTGCCAGTATAATGTGGATCATTTGAAGCCTGATCCTAACTAAATTCTCTTCTCATTTCATATCCTCTAGATTTTTTTAAATCACATCAATTCCCTCTAAATTTGACATTTATGTCTGAACACTACTAAACTTTTTTTTTTCTTTTTGAGAGAGAGATTTTTGCTATAGGGTACGTGTGGTCACTGAAAAGACAGAGAGACATAAAGTGAGAAATTACCCCCAGGGGGGATGACCATGCCGCAAAACCCTTCTCCTCTATTCTCTTCTCCGGATCTTGGGCATGCATGCCCGTGAATTTTAAGTAACTAAGTCTGGAACTCAAACCGTGGTCAACTACATAGGAGTCCAGTGACATAGCTATTATACCATCTGCTGGTCCCAATTTTTAGGTTTTTGTCATAGGGGTGTGCACTCACAGGAGAGAGACAGAGTAAGACACAGAGACAGAAAGTGAGAAATCATTCTTCTAGGGGGCATGGCTACTCTGCAATAACTTTTCCTCCACTTTTCCCTAGGAATTTTGGAGATGCACGCACACATGACAGGCATGATTTTTAAGGTGCCGGTCTGGGACTCAAACAACAGGTGGCCATGTGAGAATCAAGTACATTAACCACCATGCCACCTCCTGTACCTAAACTATTAATTCTTTTAAGCATATTTGGAAGAGATGCTACATCTAAAATATTATCACAATTTTACTAATGTTTTTAGGCTTATTTTCCTTTACATTATATTCAATTTAGTGTTTTGTCTATTATGGAAAATATAGCCAGTACAGCATACATATCTAAGAACTGGTATAAAAACCTGGAATAATGTGATATTGAATGATAAACATATAGTAATTATTTGTAAGTAATTAGATTAGCCTGTGGAAAAAGATGGAAGACTTATTTGTATTTGTAGGAGAGAAGGCCAAAATCAAAGTAGAATACAAGTGAAGGACACAAAGGTTGTTTAGGAAAGTAAAAAAATTGAGATAAAATATTCTCATTTCATGAAAGAATTAAGATTTTCAAGTGTTAATGCAACAGTAGATATTTAACTAAATTTTCAAAGTTAAAAAGGTAAGCAATAGAAAACTATAAAGATATATAAAAATTAAACAGGAGTTTATAAACACATACGTATACTTATACACAGTAGTAAACAGTCACTGTTTAAACTTGATTAAGAAGTGTAATTATTTTCTAGTATTATATGAGTATCTCATAAAGAAAAAGTAACAGAAATTACAAGGTTGGCTCTAGAAACTGGTACTTAATAATAAGGAGAGATGTCTAGATTACTACATTAATATGGATGTGTAACTTTGATTAAAAAACAATAGAGAAATAACAATGAAACAATAGGCTTAGGTAATTTACAGAAGGAAGAATAGTGAATTTTCTAACTTCTTTAGTTAAAAAAAAGTAAGGCTATCACTGAATGATGTAATTGAAATTAGCAGATGTCCCCCACCTGTTCTTTTTTAAGTCTGAAGTTAACTTTAAAAAGATTTTGCTTTATTTATTTATGTTAGCTTTATAGAGCCTTTCATATATTAATTCTCAAATGATTTGTTGAAAATATAGATATCTGTAACAGCAAAGTGTTAACTATGTCATCTGCTACAGATAATTCAATTAATATGATAATTAAAAAGTATTTTCTAGCTGCATAGCATTGGCTATATAAGAAATAGTGGGTAATAGTGTGCTGTTATGAAAAGGCCCAAGGGAATGGCAATCAACAATGGTCAGGGATGGAAGGATTTGTCCCAACACCAGGAAGGAAAGCATGGTGGCTCTATTGGAATAGGCTGGCAAATGAATGGTATAAAAAAACACACAGTAGACTTGAATTTCCTTACTAGGAAAATAAATCTGATAAATTATATAGTTTTTGGTTTATTTTTGAAGTGGTGGTAGCGGAGCAATTCAGTTTAAGGAAAGCAGAAAAGCTTCAAGAAACTTTTGAGAGTAGCAGATTACCCATCCACAGAAACTTAATAGGAATGAGGGGCAATATCTGAAGTTGGTGTTCACAAGCCCAAGGTGGGTGTAAATTTTTAAGGCAACCCTTGGATTCTCTAGACAGTCAGGAAGTAAGATTATAGTTGAATTCACTGGGGTTGGGTATTTGCCAAACAAGAGCAATAAAAGACAGAGGGGCAAGATAATTTATATACAGGAAAGGACTTAACTCTTGTAATGTTGGAACATGGAAGGTAGAAAGTAAAATGATACACCTGATCTATTAAGGGCAAGGATTGTAGCAAATAAATACTGAACTTTTACTAGCAAAGGTTGTTATCATCAGTTTTGGATTCTGACTTACACACAAGCTACTCTATTTTGTGATGGTCAATGCAATGTGTAGAGAGAGGTCATTTTTGTCATGAGAAGGTGGAAGAGCCCCTCAATCTCAGGGATTATACAAATGTGAGATATCTTAATACATATGAATAATGTAAATAGCACTAATTATCAGTTAATAATAATGAGCAGTTAAAATGAGCAAAATGCTGATTTTTCTAACAAGGATGTTTTAAATTAATAAGCTATCAATGAGAAAATACTTAGGAATTTAATGAAAAGAGCAGAGAACTACCTTAATTACAAGCTTTTAATTAGATAAGTTGTATAAAAAGTGTATTTGTTTTCCTTTTCCAATTTCAGCCTACAGATACTCTTAAACAATTTTGAAATTAGCAATATATATATATATGCACACATGGTTTTAACTTACAATGCTGGAATACACAGTAGTGACTCTTAAATCTCTTTCTCTAGTCCTTCTTTTATGAGTGTTAGGAATATACATCTGAATGCCGACTGCATTTTTTCCACATTGATTTCCCCTGACTGTGTCATCTTATTATATCCAAGACTGAATACCTCATGTTCACCCTCTCCTCCATTTATTCCCCCACTTCCGTTATCTTTTCTGGTGAAGAGAATCATCATGCATTCAATGCACTATGCCAAAGCTCTGAAATTGTTTTACATGCTAGCTTCCACCTACTAGAGATTCTCATATTTAATTAATCACCAAACCCTAGCAATTCTACCTCCTTAGTATCCTAGTCATGTCCCCTGCCCTCCAATGCTACTATCACTGCTTTCGTTCAGTCTCTTAGTGCCTTTTGGCTGGTTAGTTTCAACAACCCCTGAAATGGTCTCCCAGTTTTCAATCCTTGTTCCCACGCATTCATCCATGCTTCTAATCAACTTTTCATAGGTCCCTTTATCTCTCTATATTGGCTTTGTAATCTCTAAAATATCTATTACATGGTATTCTGTACGTGATAAGATTATTAGTATAATATATAATATAAAATACTGTATATATGTTTATATATATACACACACATGCACACACACTTTACCAAGTCTCAGAGACTTTGTAGTTTATATATACATATAAGTGAAGAGAAATTGTGGTAAGCAAAAATCTTATAGTTCTGTCCATACATTTCAGTACCATATATTCTAAAATCAAGCATGTAAAAGAACGATACTGAAAGAGATTACATTTTTAAACCTCCAAATCAATCAGGATTCTTAAACTCACTTCTTCAAAGTGCCTTCACAGATTTTTTTTATTGCATGACAGAGCAAGCTGTATATCATATATCAACTGTAATATCGTGCTTGACTTATTTAATGCAATGCTTAACTGTAAATGTCTATAAATACAAATGAGGTGTTTAAATTTGAAGGTACTTTAGATAGCAATACCCGTAAGTATAGAATCATCACTTCTGCCTGAATTACACTTAAAAGTTAAAGTTCCAACTGCTTCTATTATTGGAAAAGTAATAATAACAATTATAACTATACCATGAAGTATTAAAAACTGAACATTCCATTTAAAGCCTGCTAAACTAAAAATGTAATGAAAAGTGAACCCATAAAATCCTTGCAGTTCATACACATATGCTCTATGGGAGCACTCCAGAGCAAAGAAAGGAACTGCGGAGTCTTTATTACAGTTCTTTTCAGGCTCTTTCTCCCTTTCTGGCATTAGAGTAGCATTATGGTGAATATTTCTCATCCATGGATCATCACTTTCCTATGTCCTAACTTTTATTCGAAGGCATGTATAACCTCAGACTAAAAGTGTAGTTTCTAAATAAGGCAAGTGCCTTTTTATTTCACACGTAGAAGGCTCAGTTGCTCAAACGCTATTACATCTTTGCTTTTTCTATCTGAAACGGCTAACCACGTTAACCTGGGCCACACGGCTTACCGTCGTTACGGAGAGTGAGTGGCGTTGGAGGACTAAGCACGCGAGCGTTTGTCACTGTGTTTTTCACCAAACAGATATAGCTGCCAACATCTGATGTCTGGACTTTCGAAATATAAAGGTTGCCTGTCTCCTGGGAAATGAACCGCCGGCTGTCTTCCGCCACAAAGGATGGGAACTCGTTAAATACCCAGCTGTAGATGATCTCTGAAAATACACAAAATTCAGGTGTTGAAAGACACAGATTATTTCACTAATAGACACAGCTTAAGCAACAAAGTCTTTCCTAAGTACTAGATATATTGCAAGGCCACACGAATCTGACCCAAATATCTATATAGTTTATTATTTCATATCCAGAGGACTGCTATTCTTAATGACTACAGGAAAGAGCTAAAATATTTCTTACTGATGCTTAGTCTTTATCCATTCATTCTTTCAATTCCGATGTGTATTGAATGTGTATTAGATACTCAGTGCTATGATAACACTGAAAATAAAAAGAAAAGAGAGACCATTTCTCATTCCCAAAGATCAATTTCATGAGCAAGATTTACTTACACCTATGAAACAATGTGGACTAAGTAGAAACTTCTATTTTTATTGTAAACAAGGCATGGGGGAGGAGCACCGAGCAATTACATCAGTCAATGGAAACTTCTTGAGTTAGGAGACATCTGAGCTACATTATTTTATTGGTTTATTCGCCAAATCTTGGTAAGGTCACTACAAGCCAGACATTGTTCTAAGTATAAAAAGAAAAGAATTCATTATAGTTGAAAAAAACTGAGAACACGCCAACAGAGAAGTATATATGAAGCAGTAAGTACTATGAAGAAAACTAAAGTATCGTACTGGAAGAGTGACGAAGCTAAGAAGGATATGTGAATTTGTATGTTAATGTTAAAGGTTCTCTCTGAGTGCTGGACACAGAAGCAACACAGTGAAGACCAACCAGGGACTGAGAAGAGGGAAAGCAGTTAACTTTTCATTTTTTTTTAAATTGAACTTTAATAAAATAACTAGGACAAACAATAAAAAGGAATAGAAAATCTAACTCTTGATTTATGCTACAGCCAATGAGGGAAAGAAAGACACCTAGGTTAGAAAGTAAGCTTGTGATTTCTGAGTACCACAAGGTGTTTCAGCTTTTACCACCACACATGGCGCTGTGCACGCCCGAGGACACACCCACACATCTTAGCATACGTTCCTAAAAGGGCAGCAGCACGTCAACGGCACGTTTGTTCAAATGACTTCTGATGCATGTTGCCAAATGACCTTCGTATATGGTCTTCCCAGTAGCATGTGACAGGGCACATTCTTTTGTTAACATTAAGTATTATTATCTTTAACATTTACCTTTTATTTATTTTTTTATATCTTTCTTTTTATTAAAAAAATGGTAGTTAATAAAATGGCACAAACAGGTCATCAGGGATATGTTACTGGAAAACAAAAGCATACAGCCAGAATGGGCTTTGACTCTGGAAAGGGGGCAAAGTCCCACATTAAAGCCACTATTGCAAAGAAATGGGAGATTGCATGCGTGGAGAGATAACCACCAATGTGACCTAAATTCTTCACCTATTTATACTTTTCCAGAAGTACCTTTTTATTTCAAAATACCCATGAAAGATAGAAATGGCACTAGAATGGCACTAGAATGGCAGTGACAGTGACAGTTCTGGAAAAATGGTGAACAGTGATTATTCTTGGTAAAAATGTGGCAGAAGCATTGACAGATATTGCTAATGGGCAGATTACAAAATGTAAGAAAAATGTCAAAAACTTTGGTTTTGGGCCTTATACAACTGAACAACTAGAAGAGTGTATTTGCCTTGACTGAAATGACAAGACTGAAAAAAGAGCGTTCTACAGAGATGTGAGTGTAGTCCAACCGGGACTTTAATTATGACAGATTAAATTGACAGATTATTAGGTACTCAATTAGAGACATTGGAAGGAAAGCTGTACATCTTAATATGAAGTCCAATCTATTCAAATCTCTGTAAAGATTAGAATTACATATGTTCTAAGTGAACAAATGGATCCCAAGGTCTCTTTTCCCCAGAATTATTTGTTAGTAAGACTAGTGATGATTTGAGATTTTAAACATTTGAAGACTGTCTTTCAATTCTTTATCTCTTTCTTTAGTTCTTTTTCTTTCTGTCTCTCCTGCCATAACTGTCAAAAATAATTTCATAGCTTTGACCCCACCCACATTCAAATGGGGAGTGTAGCATTTACTCGACTTTCTAGATGACTTAATCAGAGGCTTGAAGATAATCCAACCATATGGGAAGTCAATGTAACTAATTTCAAAACTATAAATGGGTGAATCAATGTAGAATAAAATTAGTTTCAATCTATTACTATTTCATGTTTTATGTTAATTTACAACAGATACAATGTGTTCTGCAAAGGTAATTCATTAATTTTCACAAGTTTGTGTTTATGAAAGTCGAGGTTGGAGCCAGCTGGTGGCATCTCACTTGGCTGATCACATGGTTTGAGGCTCAGATCCAGTGGCTTGAAAAATTTGCCAGTTAACTGTGTGGTTTGAGTCCTGGACCCAGTGGCTTGTGTAACATCCAAGGAATCTGTGTGTGTATGTCCCCAAATCCCAAAAGGGTGGAGAGATGGAAGAGAATGGATTGTGGCATGACCATTCCCCACTGCGGGTGCTTTCTCAATTCCTCCCTCTCCATCTCTCTCCTCCCCTGCCCCTTCCTGTGAGTGTACATGTCCTCTGTCACATTAAAGAAATAAAAGGGGATGTCATAGTGAAAAGAAAAAAATGGAGTCAGGATAGTTTAGTCTGGCTCCCTCAATTCCTATATTATCATGAATGGAGGCCACAGGATAAACAACTGATATCATTTGTTGTAGTGTGATTGTGCTTATATCATTGTATGTACATTGTGTGGAAGTTTGTCTTTGCCAATGAGCCACTATTGTCTGCAGCCCCTTTAAGCACCTGGTCAGCTAGCTAGCTAGCCTGGCTCAGCTCTGCGTTGTTTTGACTAGTTAGCTTCACATGAGCTCCAAGAGGGAGGAAGCACTCTGTCAGCATTCTGTAGGTGCTTTACAAACTCCAAGAGGAAGGAAGTGCTCTGAAAGTGCTACTAAGACCTCTGTGAGCTCCCTGTGAACTCAGCCAGTGAACAACATGACAACAGTGCCTCACATCTTTTCCAAACTCCTTGCATCTCAGTTCTATTCACCCTTTGGAGGAGAAAGAACCTTGCAAAAGACATAGTCTAACTCCTGACAAAAATCAGAACCATTTTTATAGACACTAGCTTAGGAAAGTATATTCCATGCAAACAACTGATGAACATTACAACTAGTATTCCTTCTGTCCATTTGTTTTCTCACACACAAATCCTGTTCTATTCATTTAGTTTACTTTCCACTTGTGCTTCAGTTCTTTGGGACTTCCAGAGGCACTGCAGTCAAATATTGACTTGGCTACTTAGGGGTGATTTCAGTTGATCAGGTTTTTTATTTTTATTTATTTTTTTATACATTCAATCACATTATTTAGCTTACAAAGTGAACATTTCAATATGTGAACATTTCTCCCCTGTCCAGTTGATCTAAATATCTTCAACATATAACACCACACCTCCCCACCCCGTCAATGCTCTGCCTCCGTATCCCTCCTCCAAATGTCCTTCCCTAGGCCCCACTCCTCCACACACACCACATTTGGCATTCACACCGATCTCTTGTGTTTGTACATCCTTTAGTCCATCAGTTTCAGTCATATTTTATTTGGGACCAGCAGATGAAATAGAGGTTATGTCGTTGTGCTCCCATGTAGTTGACTGCAGTTCAAGTTGCGGACCCAACAGCTTAAAACTCATGCTCGGTGCATGTGCATGCATGCCCAAAATCCTGAGAAGAGAGTGGAGAAAGGATTACAATGTGACCACCCCACCACAGTGTGTGGGGGGGTGATTTCTCACTTTCCATCTCTCTGTCTCTGGCAAGCATATATGACCTATAGCAAAACTCTCTCTTCATGTTTATTATTTTTATTTTGGTCAGAGAGAGAAAAAGAGAGAGAAAGTGAGAAGGCAAGCTGCTTCATCTGGGACTCAAACTGTGGTCAGCCATGAGGGAGTCCAGCACCTAACCACTATACCACCTGCCAGCCCCAAGTTAATCAACTATTTTATGAACTCTTCAAAGTTTAGCTTTCTCATTTATAAAATAGGAATAGCATCACCTATTTTATAAACTTTTGAACAAGAGACTATAGCTTAGAACTTTCCACCCAATATGTATCCATAAAGTATGAAAAAAATAACATTTCTGTTATTGTTAACTCTCAAAATGATTAGGTTGGGAACATTCTATGTGCACCTTTGAAATAAAAGAATAATAGTAAAGGGGACCTAAAATAACACTGAAAGAATATGGGATACTTAAATGTTATCTAATTTGTTTTCCACAGAAATTTCAATGATGAGATGAATGTTGATTCTAAGCAAAATTTAGTTAATCTGTATTACTTTCAAGGAATATACAGTTGTGAGACTTGAAATACTATATTGTATTAGTTCACAGCTGTATTAATAATACACACACACACACACACACACACACACACACACACACACGAGCATACATCAAGAAATTTAAAATAAGGCAAATTGCTTTTATAGTTACCATAATCCTTTGGTCCACTTGATGTCTGATTTAAAACAATGTTAATTTTTTCATCCATGAGTGAGGCAGAAAGAGAGAGAGAGAGCTCACACTCCCAACAGGATCTTAATGCCACCTTCAACCAGCTCTGGATCATGGGCAAATGTGTGCTAGTCATAGTCAGGGAAGTTTCTGGACTTCAATTGAGAAACTTCCCATGTGGGATTACCTCTTGAGCCTTGCATTTTTACTACAGCTTCACTGTCTGGCCCTGGTGTTTTATTAAGAATTTATTAAAAATATTCACATGGTTTTGCTCAAAGGAAGCCCATATAGTAAAACTGAAAAACATTAGTCTGTTCTCACTGTTCAAATAAACTTCACATGTCAGGACTTTCCACATTTAACAATATAAATTCTTCTACTTGTTATGATGAAAGTTTCATTTGTTGTTTGCACATAACTCAGTCACTTAAATAGTTTTGTCTTTTATTTTAGATTAGATTTTATTGGAATTTCAGTTATTTTTGGTTTATGTTACTTGAATT